TAGCCACTATCCCTCACAGGGCCTCAAACATGTTTTGAGAACATTTATGGGCAATGCAGTAGAGCCCTGGTGTCCAACACGTGGCCCCCTTTGCAGCGGAAGAGCATGAGATCTGATACGTAAACACTGAGTGAGGTTAAATAACCCTTCCACTGACCACAAATGAGAAGTGGGGGTTAACAGCACTGCCACTGATCACCAATTAAGGAAGTTTTCGAAATATCACTACTACTGACCAAAAATGCTGGGGGTTATTACTGTGGTCACTGACACTAATGCTGGGGGTTATTATTGCCGTAACTGGCACCAATACTGGGGGTTATCTTTGCAGTCAGTGATACCAATGTTGGGGGTTACTATTGCAGTCACTGAAACCACTGCAGGGGGGTTATCATTGAGGCGTCTGACACCAATGCTGGAGGTTATTATTGCGATCACTGACACCAGTGTGTGTGTGGGTGTGTGTGTGTGGGTTATTATGGAGTCAGTGACACCAAAGCTTGAGGTTGTTATTTCAGTCACCTACACCAGTGCAGTTGGTATTTTTATGTCCACTGACAAATGCTGGGGGTTATTTGCTGTCATTGAAACTAATGCTGTAGGTTATGAGTTTGGCCACTGGAACCAATGCTGAGAGTTATTATTGCAGTCTTTGTGATCAATATTGAGGGTTATTACTGCGGCAACTGACACCAATGCTTGGGGTTATAATTGCAGTAACTGGCAGCAATTCAGGGGGTTAATATTGTGGCCACTGGGGCTTTGGTAACCCAACTTTCTCTTCAATATGCAACAAAATACAGCAGGATCAAAATTTCAGGGTGTTGACGTGCACTACAGCCCATTCATTTTCTCTGGAAATATCAGGGGCTGCACTTGAGGCGCTCTTAAATTTTCAAGTTGACCATGGCTGCAGTAGAGTCTGTTTAGCTTGATTTATTGACATGGTTACTCACATCCTGATTTCTGGTGTGTTCAGGTGGAGGAAGGTGATAGGAACATGCTGTAGATTGCACACAATAATACCAGCAGTATTGAAAGAGAAACACCAGCCTTGCATCTCTTTTTAGGTTTGGATAGAGTATCAAGGGTTAGATCTTCTGTTTTGGTTTTATTGCTGTTTGAGTCCTCACTAGGTAGATATCCTGTCCTAGTGACACCCTGTCTTAGGCTGGGCACACACCTTACAACCATCGCAAGACTTTAGTCTTGCGATGGTTGTAAGGTAATTAAAAAAACGTACAATCTGCCTATCTTGGACAGGCAGATCGTACTTGCGATGATAGCAAGCCCACCCCGCTGAGGGGCTGGCTTCTGACGACCGCAATGCCGAACGGACAGTGTGCGCTTGCGCACACCGGCCTGTCCGGCTTTTATCTTACGAACATGCTACACACTTTTCGAACATGTTCGTAAGATAAAAGTCGTGCGACCTTACAGTAGTAGAGGTCGCACGGCTTCCACACACCTTACGATAATCGCACGATCGCAGGATTTCCCGCGATCATCGTACGATTATCGCAAGGTGTGTGGGAACCTTAACCCTGGCAGGAAATTAGAGCATGTTTCTCAACTTTTTTTTCAGTCATGGCACCCTTCAAAAGTATATAAAATCTCGAGGTACCCCAGTCTAAATTGTAAAAAATGTAGATGTATAAAATGATGTATGGCCCCTCTACATCCCAGATGCGGGTCTGGTATGGATTTTAGAGGGACCACCAGAGACCACCTTCAAATCAGGAGCTGACCACCCTCCTCACATCAGAATCCGTTTCACATCAGAGTCCCCCTTTACTTTAGGAGCCCCCTACTTTCACATCAGAGCCCCCTCTTTCACATCAGAGTCACTCTATCACATCACAACCTCTCCCCTCCTTCATGTTAGGAGCCCACTTCGCATCAGAAGCCCCCCTTTCATATAAGAGTTCCCCAGTTACATAAGAAGCCCCCCTTTCATATCAGAGTCTCCGCCTTCACATCAAAAGCCCCCCTTTCATATCAGAGTCCTGGCATTACATCCGGAGCAGCAGCTGCATGGCAGAGGATTGGAGGTGGAGCAGGCCTGGATGGAGGTAAACGTCTGTTCTTTTCTGAATAGCGCCCACCCTCCCTGAAAAAGCGTCATTCATTTTCATGGTGCTGGTGGCCGTCCTGCCTGCACCATAGAAAGGAATGATATTGTGTGAAAACTTTAAGGCACTCCTGAAGAAGACAGAAGGCACCCCATGGTGCCGCAGCACCCTGGTTGAGAATGGCTGAGTTAAGAAAATATCCTGAATGGAGACACATATGACAATAAAAATCAGACAGAGTATGTTACCTTTTTCCACTTAGAATCAGGAAAAAGAGAAAAACAACAGCTACACCCTATACAGCAAGACCGAGCATTAGTAAGATTCACTGCAAGCATTGCTAGAAAAATGGTGCCAATGCAGATATTACTAACTTGATTTTACACATCTGAACACACCGCACATATACTGTTCTTCACGCATTTTCTGCATGGGTCCATAAAAAACCCAAAAAAGAATAAACAACCTGCGTTCAGATGCTTTAAAAAACATGCTGTACTCATAAAAACATGATTTATGGACATATGCATGAGCCCTTAGAAAGCAACCACATCCTAATTTAAAAAGACTATCCCCTGCCAACATGCTGCATTTAAGGACCCCCTTGCTCACGGTGTGGAAGCAGTGGACTCTCTGCAAAGGTCCTACACGCCCGCTGCTGAATCTGAGAATCCGATTTATAGCTTTGCATCAGCAAAGCTCATGCTCCCTGCTGATTTGATAGTTGTAGCTCTAACTCAGCAGGGGGAGGGTTGGACCTTTGCAAACCGACCACACAGAGAGCAGTGGTCCTTCTCTACAACATTCTACCTTGGGCCAGACTTTAGACTTTTCTATTCAGGATGTGGCTGCTTTCTAAAAAAAATAATAATAATTTAAGGTCACTTTTTGTTTTGATGCACCTGGAATATCAGCACTGATCAGCCATTACGACCACTGACAGGTTAAGTGAACAATATTGATTATCTTGTTACAAGGGCACCTGGAAGTGGGTGGGATATATTAGGCAGCAATTGAACATTTTGTCCTTGAAGTAGATGTGTTGGAAGCAGATCAAATGGGCAAGCGTAAGGATTTGAGCGACTTTGTCAAGGGTCAAATTGTGATGGCCATACGACTGGGTCAGAGCAAATCCAAAACTGCAGCTCTCGAGGGATGTTCCCGGTTTGCAGTGTTCAAAAGTGGTCCAAGAAAGAAAAACCAGTGAACCGGTGACTGGGTAATGGGCGGCCGAGGCTCATTGATGCATGTGGGGAGCGAAGGCTGACCCGTGTAGTCCGATCCAATAGAAGAGCTACTGTAGCTGAAATTTCTGATAAAGTTATTACTGGTTCCGACAGAAAATGAATGAACATACAAAACATTGCAGTTTGTTGTGTAAGGTTGTGTAGATGCAGACTAGTCATGGTGCCCATACTGACCCCTGTGTACTGCATAAAGCTCCTACAATAGGCACAACTGGACCACGGAGCAATGAAAGAATATGGCCTGATCTGATGAATCAAGATCTCTTTTACATCATGTGGACCGGTGAGTGTGGGGGGACTAGGGGAGAAAAAGGGGAGAATGCATTAAGGTAAAATAAACACCCAGACCTTAACACTGCTTTAACTGCTGAGTTTCGTGTCACTTTAAGATGGCTATAAACTGCTTGACTCTCCAACCTCTGTAATAAAGACCAGTCACTGCTGCTCTTTCTCCTTGTGCAGGGTGACTGGTCTTGTATCCGCCCCTCTTCTGTAGTTTTCTGCAGGCAGCCTGTAGTGGGTGGTTCTGGGCCCCTCTGACGGCTCTGCTCAGGCTATGTACAGCACAGTGATAAGTGATTTCAATTGGCTTGGTACAAACCTAGAAAACTGCACTAAACTGCCAGTGACACATCCCTTTGTTATGTGTAGCTGTGGAGTGGTAAAAAGCCTGGCCACAACTGATTGGCCCGTGTGTGTGTCACTGACATTTGGTGTGGACTTTTTTGCGGTGCAAAGCCCACGCACACCAGTTGTGATTAGAGTTGAGCCTAGGCTCAGTGTAAACCCAGTTCAGCTGTTTGCCTTATCAACGTCGCGAGCCTCTGATGTCACCGGCAGTGGAGGAGGAGGCGGGCCCGTGCTCAGCAGCAGGGGAGGAGGCGGCCTCGGTGACGAAGGAGGCGGCCCGGCGACGGAGGAGGTAAGGAGTGCAACCAGCCCACCAGAGGGTGATCCCGCAGAGCCCACCATAGAGTCTCGATCTTGAGTGGGCTCTGCAAGGGGTATAACTAGAAATCACGGGGCCCCATACAAAATTTTGCTATGGGGCCCTGTGATTTCTAGTTACGCCCCTGGCCTCTACGTAACTGATTGCGCTGAGATGAGGGGAGGCAATCCCAGTTTTGAAAGGGCTTAACCAAACTAATTGCACATTAATAGCAAGCTAGCAGCTTATCACTACTGATGATGTCCCTGCTACCTTTACAAGGTGATATAGTGGTACCTCGGTTCACAAACTTAATTTGTTCCACGATTCTGTTTGCGAACCGAATCAAACTGTGATCAGACCGCGATCTCGACTAGAGGAAGCCACGACCATGTGTCAGAGCAGGGTAGATGGCTGCGGTTGTGTCCGTCACCCAATGCGGGGTTCGCGAAGGGAAGCAGAATTTTGCCGAACTTCCGGTTTCGCAAACCGAAGCGTTCGTGAACCGAGGTACCACTGTATCTAGATGCACAAATTGTAAATTTATATCCTTTATTGATTTCTTTGAAATAAAAGTTTTTGTGCCTGGAGTTAATCTTTCATTATGTGAAGCAACCCATGACAACTGTTATATGGCTGGTTGTCATCTGCTATGATATCAATGTTCTGAGGTGTAACCTCAGCAGGGAACATGCCGGCTCCTATATCCCGGTGTGCAATGTGACAGTGTGTATGTCCGGGCAACAAGAGGAAGAGGAGGTGGTTGCTGCTGATGATGGTGGGAGAGGAGGAGGCGCTCAGCTGAAGCTGCTGCTCATGACGCAGGAAAAACGCACCGCCGGCCAAAGAAAGACCTGGGAGACTGCAATGACAGGAACGAAATAAAAATCTAGGCGGAAGCGGGATTAAAACCTTGCGGGACACCTTCTCGACCACGCAAAGCGGCAGTCGCTTAACGGACCATTGAAACGAAGCCGGTCCGGAGCCTCTAAACAGGGAAGAAAAAAAAACCCAGCGGGAGGCGACGCGAAGAAGTTTTAATGCCTGTGAAGTTGTGGGGGAGGACATAAAGGAAGCGAGAGGGGAGGGAAAAAAAATACAGTAGCCCGACCGCGTCGCTTTTGCAGAAGCGATTACGCTCGCCTGTCTCATCTGATTTCTATGACTGTGGCTGGCAGAGCCGGGAGCATTCACACATGTGTAGCCTCGCCTGTCTCTCTGCACCTCTTATGAGCAGCAGGCCGGCTCCTAATCTCCTGCTGGGGAGGAGGACTTACTAGTTTGCGGTGAGTAAATGGGTTCTGTATTCTGGGGGGAGGGGGTCCCTTGTCGCGGCCTAGACGTATGTGAGGCGTTTTATTATTGGTAACCCTGATAGAACACGTAGCCTGAGGCCGGCCTAGCGGGCTCCATTGCCTATTACCCTGTCATGTACGGCTCGGACAGACATACATGACATGTAATAGGAGCTTTCTATAGGGAGGGGGGGTCCACATTCTGCCTCCACCCCGCTCTCTTCTTCCTCTCCGCCTCACCCCTGCTTTTTCCTGTCTGGGGCTGACTGAGGATGATCTAGCACTCCTCCTCTTCCTCTCTCCTCCTCCAGGAGCCATCTCTGCCTCGTATCCCCCCCCTCCTCAGAGCTCGGCGATTTTATTCCCCCTTAACCCCTTCGTCCCTGGCGCGGCAAGGGAGGGTGTGCTGCAGCCATATTCCTCCCCCCCTCCTTTATCTCCTCCACCCTTCTCTCTGACCCGTCCATGTCCTGCCTGTGTGTCTGACCGTCCTGGCAAGCCAGCATTTCCTCCCTCTCGCTGTCTCTCCTCCCCCTTCCCTCTTCTCTTCTGCTTTCTGCCAAACGCCATTACTGAGGTGGAGTGATTGGGACGGGGTGGGGAAAAAGACGCCAGAGACATGTAGGCCCTGCCCGCAATTCCAGGCCCCTGACTGATTTGTATCAATGGCAACCTGCCGTTCTTCCTCCTCCTTCTGAAGGCCTCTGTCAATGTTTCACCCCAGCCTGCTTCCTATGCTAAGCTCTCCCCTTTGCCTCATATCCACCCTTGTCACAAAGCAGAGACGGGAGCTGCTGGAAATGTAAGTAAGGACTGAAGTTGGGCCTAGTGTAGGGAGTGAAGCCTGCTCTGGAGTCAGTCCTGGCTTTGCTGCCCATTTTTAACCTCTGATGAATTAAACACATGACCAAAGCATTTTGTTTGTTTGCACATTGCGAGGCAGGGTTGTCTGAGCCATTGTGACAGTTGGTGGTAACGGCTCTGTTAGGGTGTAACAATGCAGCAACATATACAAGAGTGAATATATTGGACATGCATTATTCCACTTCCTGGAAATGTTAATATGTAATATTGCCCATGGCGGCTGCTCCATACTCGGGGTGCAACAATATATACATGAGTGACTATATTAGACGTATATGAGATACGTTTCCTGGTAATGTTGGTATGTAATATATTGCCCACGGTGAATGCTCCATACTTGGGGTGCAACAATGCAGCAGCAACGTTCACACAAGTGAATATGTTGGACGTACATTAGATCCGCTTCCTGTTAATGTTAATATGCAATATTACCCATGGTGGCTGCTACATACTCGGGGTGTATCAATGCAGCAACATACACCCGAGTGAATATATTGGACGCACATTCTATCCGCTTCCTGGTAATGTTAATATGTAATATTGCCCATGGTGGCTGCACCATACTCGGGGTGCAACAATGCAGCAACGTTCACACGAGTGAATATATAGGATGTACATTAGATCCGCTTCCTGGAAATGTTACTATGTAATATTGCCCATGGCGGCTGCTCTATACTCTGGGTGTAACTATGCAGCAACATTCACACAAGTGAATATATTGCACGCATATTAGATCCGCTTCCTTGTAATGTTTGTATGTAATATTGCCCGAGGTGGCTGCTCCATACTCAGGGTGTAACAATGCAGCAACGTTCACACCTTTTTTTTATTTTCCTTTTTAAGCATTGCAATTGAGGTGTTTCTTGGGTCACCCCGATCTTTTGGAAAAAGTACTGTTCCCTGATACCTGCTTTCTCCAGGCTACAAGACCGACCCCAGCATACTCCCCCTCCAACAGTCATAGGCCACTGATGCCATCAAGTACACTACAGCACCCATAGTCCTGCATTATACATGAGGATGCTTGGGGACGGTACCTTCTAGGGGAACGGGGATCAGGTAAGTAAAACTGCTTTTCCCGGTAACCACAGAATTAAATGAGCATGCAACCCTTGCAATGCAGGGACAGCCCCACTGCACTGGGAGTTTGGTGTATAGGGTAACATTTTGTATTCTGGTATCTGTATATGGTTAATACTGGTAATAATGCCATTCAAAATATGATTTTTAAATTTTATTTCACATGCATTCATTTTATATTTTTCTCTGTTTCAAAGCAGACCAAGATGTCCGGCAACTAGAGCTGCAGCTAACGATTATTTTCAAAATCGATTAGTTAGCCGACTACTAAGTTTTTTATTAATCAGATAAAAAAAATGGCTCCAGTGATGGACTACCAGCTTGTATGGAGATTGTAGTCCATCACAAGAGCAAGCTGTGGAAGTAAATAAAAAAAAAAAAAAAAAAGTGTGGAGTGAAATGGAACGTATAAAATTATACAGCAATCAATGCAGAATGGCACCGACTATAGAGGACTACAAATCCCAGCAATAATACATTACACAGCGCAATACAGAGTACCACCAGCTATAGAGGAATACAATACATCCTAGCAATAGTACATTTTAGCTGGTGGTATTCTGCATTGCGCTTAAAATATGTTTTGATTAGGGGTGCACCGATACTAGTATCCGTGCCGATACCGAGTATTTGGGCAAGTACTCGTACCCAAATGCTCCGATACCTTCCTCGATATTGGAACTTACAGCCAGATGAAAATTTCCTCTGACTGGCAGTGCCGTCAGGGAACATGTAGCCAGCTTCCCGTGCAATCAGGAAGCCGTGGGTGAAGTAATGACCCGCCTCCTGGTTTTCGGATTGGCCTGGGAAGCCGGCTCCTTGCTGATTGGCTGGAAAGCCGGCTTCCTGGCCAATCGGCATCAAGCCAGTTTCCCGGTCAATCAAGTCATTGCTCGCCACCCGGCTTCCTGATTGACCGGGAAGCAGGTTTCCCGGCCAATCAAGCAGGCCAAACATGGAGCCGGCTTCCGTGGCAATCGGGAACCTGGGCGGGATGTCATTACCTGCTGCCCGGTTTCCTGATTACCAGGGAAGCCTGCTCTGTCAGCGGAAGCACCGGTATTAGTATTCAGTGTCGGCGAGATCCGAAAGCAAAAAATCGGTACTCGTACTCGATACCGAAAAACCGGTATTGGTGCATCCTTAGTTTTGATTAAAACAATTTTTTGTATTGGGACAAGTAGATGGTCGTGAAGGACAAGTAGATTTGGCCCCCACTTTAGCCCTTGGACAAGTAGTTTTTTTTTTAAATTTCCACACCCCTGCGCTGTATAATGTACTATTGCTGGGTTTTGTAGTCCTCTATAGCTGGTGGTGTTCTGCATTGCACTACTGTATAATGTATTATTGCTGGGATTTGTTGTACTTCTCTATAGCCGGTGGTATTCCGCATTGCGCTGTATAATGTATTATTGCTGGGATTTGTAGTCCTCTATACAGCGCAATGCAGAATACCACCAGCTATAGAGGAGTACAACAAATCCCAGCAATATATTATACATACAATGTACAGCTACAGCTGATGGTACATTGCTCTGTATAATGTAAAGCACAATGTACCATCAGCTATAGAGGAATACAAATCCCACTATCCCAGCAATACATTATAGAGCACCATGTGGGGGGAATGTGCAGGCTTACTTGAGCAGTCTTCCAGCAACTTGCTTCTGAGATCGGCCTGTCTGTAGGCGTCTGTCATCCCCTCACGCCTGCTCCTCCTCCCTGCGTTCCTGTGCCGATCGTGGATGTGGGTGGGTGGGTGGTTGCCCTGTCTGGCAGCGAGCATGCGGCGGGCAGTGCGTGGCGTGTGGAGCCATTAACAGGGCCAACTAATCAAAAGCCGATTAATCGATGATTGGAAACGTTGACAACTTTTTCAATCATAGATTATAATCGACTTGGTCAATTAGTTGTTGCAGCCCTGCTGGCAACTGTGACTGTAACGGGGTTAGGACAAGCCATATAACACTGTGGTGGTTCTTAGAGCTGTCATTTTATATCCTAGAATAGATAATAGAAAAAAAGAACCTGTTTCTGTAACTGCTTTAAAAGTGTTAGCTGCACTTGGGCTTTAATTTGCTTTTCACTATGGTTCATTTAAAACTACATGTCCATCTAAGACCATCTTGTCCCGCTGGGTGAAAACACTGCTTTCCAGTTTTACTGCAGAATTAAGTGTTGTCACCCTGTATAAGGAAGTGGAAAAATCCAAGATCTACTGGCAGAATTACCAGGTAATTAAACTATGCTAAAGGGTGCCTCATAACTATTAACAGAAGTAGCTTATTTGTATATCACCCGGCTGTAGATCCTCAAATTAATCTCTGAATTAATACGGAACTTGTCCTTCCTTCTGGGGGTGATTACTTTTGTTCCCTTTGGTCCCTCTGTGTTGTAAAGCAGCCACTGCTCCAAGCTCACTCCTGTGATAAACTGCTGTCTCACGTTTTAGTTTACTAATTTGTATTAGGGCTTGTTCACACCGATCGTGTGCGTTTCAGAGCGGTAGCTGCTGGAACGCACCGCGGTTGCTAAGAAACTTCGCCCCTGGGGCGGGAGGGGGCGTAACGGTGCATTGAATTCAATGGCACCGCTTCCATGCCCCCCCCGCCCGCAGTGCAATTGGACACGTGGCAAAACGTTGCCAAAGTTCCGTTCCAAACGCAAAAAATAGGGCTTGCTAGATTGTAGTCCAGCACGGGTGAGCTTGATCTAAAAAAAGTGTGTGTGTGTGTCGCACACTTTTTAAGTGTAGAAAATGACATCCAGTAGTTTATTTTTTTTTCTGATGGTTGCTTGTGAGTTCCTCTGATTGCACCTTGCAGTGGTGTCTTGGTGCAGTCAAGGTCCTCTTAATATACTCCGCATCCCCCGAGACCTCACTGGAAAGGATGATGACCTCACCCACTGTAGTATGGAAGCCGGGAATAATGTAAGTATGTGTAAATAACTTTTTTTTTTTTTTTACTTTAGAGCTGCTACTTATTTCGGGCGAAGGGTTCCTAATATACTAAGCAGATTTTGTTTTGTGTTTTCCTGCAAAGTCT